TGTTTCCTTATCCACACACTATGCATCACCTGCCCTTGGACCAGGGACCTATCACCTAAGGTTCCAACCCATTAGTCCTTATGCCTAACACCTTCCCTATTCACAGATGAGCTTAAAGCTTACGTCTCATCACATTCCTTATTTTGAACCTTCTCTTGGATGCCTTACATGAAGCCACACAGGCTTTCTCATAAAGAATTCTTGATATTCTCTCAAAATATATTGCTCACTTCCTCTTTCTTTCTTGGGAAATCATAAGCTAAGAACCCAAGAGAGTTCTTCCTTCTTTCTCACTTCCCCAACGTGTCCATCAGTAATTCTGGGCAACATAACCTCCCAGTTACATTTTGTCTTTCTCTACATAACCACTGATGTGACTACAGAATGGTCATGACTGCAGCCTGTGGCAGTCTTGTCTTTCTCACAGGCAGCCTCCCGGTTAGTTCCTGCTCCTTGTGTTGACCTCTGCTAATCCATTCTACACTCTGAGCAGCAGAGTAAACTGTGAGAAATTAAAAATGTAAACCAGATCTTGTTAACATCTGCTTAATCCCCTTCAGGGTTTCTCATTGTAATTGGAATGAACTCCAAAGGCTTTATGTGCCTTAGCCTCTGGTTTTAGCTCCTCTTGGCCTTCTCATGCCTTCTCTAGGAAAAGCAGCTGCACTGGCCCAAATTCAGTTTTCAGAATAGGCCAAGCAGTGTGTCTGGCAGGCACTACTCAAATATATTCCCATGGCTGGCTCTTCAGATCTTGTGGATCTCTGTTCACATTTACTTCCCAGCCCAGGGAGCCCTCTTAGGAACACTCCATAGAAGTGACTCTCTTTCCTCATGCTGTCACTGCTATTTCATATAACAGTATAGGATTTGGTTCCTTCATGGTACGTTTCGATATCAAATGGTATCTTCACATTACAGTGTTCCCACTGGTTTGCTTTTATAATCCCATCCTTACCTCTTAGTAGTGAGTATTTTCTTTTATCTCTGAAATGATGCTCATCACTAAACTGCATTTCATTCTTTTGCTCTATAAAGAGGGTTTCTACTATTTCTAAGTTCATTTTATTTGCCATGTCCTTCTTCATTCTGTGCCATTCACAGAACACTATTCTAACATTTAATGTATTTTCTTTTAGTTGCTAATTCCTAGACCTGTATATTTAATCTACATATGTATAATGCCCTGTAGACTCTATTCTTTTTTCTTGCTTTCCATTGTTTAGGAGTTTAATCTTGGTACCTACCCCAAGTTGGCCCCAATGTCACATACCCCTGCCTCAACCTCCCAAATAATAAATATGTGACTTTGTTCTCTCCTTTATACTTTATTCAGTTAGCAATGTGCTTTTTAAATATTTGCTATTCTGCACACAACTAGACACTGTTTTGAAATGTAACACACTATTACACATATGTACTTCATCTATGTGTTGCCTCAAGCTCCCTACTATTCCTAACAAGCCCATGACAAATATCTTTGCACATATGTATAAAAACATTCTTCTCTGGAGAAAAAAAATCTAGAAGTTCATGAGCTATAAGAAATGTTACCATTTAACTTGACTAAGCACTGTAGAATAAGCCCCAAGGACACTTCAAACTCCACTGTAGTGAGGGTCCCTAGATAGCCTCATGTTCTCACTGTTATTTGACACTTGCCCTGTTTTCTAGTATTTTCTCATTAGACCAATGTAAAATAATAGTCCATTTTTAAGTTGTGCTTTTCAGTCCTACAAATTTGAGCAAGTCCTTCCTATGTTTGCTAACTACATGGAATTTCATTTCTTTTCCTAATCATAGACCATTTTTATAATAGATCTTAAAAAAAATCTGAGTTTCATCAGGTTCTTAAGTCGCATTTTAATATTCATTCTATGAAATAAAGTATCCTAATAAATTATTGTTGATAGCCTAGGAAAAAGTATACTTGTTCTAAATTCACTGTTTGCAATGCTCTGTTTAGAAATTAACTACCATTTAGGAAATAAATAAATGGTCTTAAAGTTCTGTTTTTTGTACACTTTTCAATGGTTGCAGAGTCATAATGATAGTCACATCACAAATAGTACTACATGAAAAGCAGTTATTATAGTGATAATACTATGTTTCTTAGTCAATATATATTCATATACTGAATTGCACTATGCTGGCATTGTTCTTCCCCCAAATATTTGGTGGCTTGGGGTTGAGAACTCAGTTTTAATCACAGTGACTTCTGAGTATGTCATAAGCTTTGTGATCTTAATCCCTTTGCTTATCACTCCTCCCTCTCTGCAACTGGATTCCAGTAGTTCAGTTCAGTGTTTAGTTGTGGGTGTCTGCTTCTGCTTCCATCAGGTACTGGATGAAGGTTCTAGGGTGGCATATAAGGTAGTCATCAACCGGGCGGTGGTGACACATGCCTTTAATCCCAGAACTCGGGAGGCAGAGGCAGGCAGATCTCTGTGAGTTCGAGGCCAGGCTGGACTGACAGCCTCCAAAACAATACAGAGAAACCCTGTCTCATAAAACCAAAAAAAAAAAGTAGTCATCAATGTCATTATTGGGGAAGGACATTTAAGGTATCCTCTTCACTATTGCTTAGATTATTAGTTGGTGTCATCAATGCAGATCTCTGGAAATGTCCCTAGTGCCAGATTTCACTATAATGGCTCCCTCTATTATGGTATCTCTTAACTTGCTCTTCTCTATTCTTCCCCCGATCCAAACTTCCTGCTCCTTCGTGTCCTCCTCACCCCCATCTTCTCCCCTTCTGTTTCTCCTAACTCCCTCTCTCTTCCCCCCATGCACCCAATTTGCTCAGGAGATCTTGTCCTTTCACCTTCTCCAGGATAACATGTATATCTCTCTTAAGATACTCCTCGTTTCCTAGCTTCTCTGGTGGTGTGAATTGTGGCCTGGTAATCCTTTGCTCTATGTCTAAAATCCATATATGAATGAGTACATACCACATTTGTCTTTTTGTGACTGGGTTACCTTACTCAAGATGGGTACTTCTAGTGCCATCCATTTGCCTGCAAATCTCAAGATTCCATTGTTTTTTTTTTCTGCTGAATAGTACTCCATTATGTAAATGTGCCACATTTTCTCTATTCACTCTTCAGTTGAGGGGCATGTAGGTTGCTTCCAGGTTATAGCTATTACAAATATTGCTGTTATGAACAGAGTCCTTGTTGTACAAATGTTCATCTTTTGGGTATTTATGCCTAAAAGTGGAATTGCTGGATCTTGTGGTAGACTGATGCCCATTTTTCTGAGAATTCTCCATACTGACTTCCAAAGTGACTGTAGAAGTTAGCAAACCCACCAGAACTGGAGGAGTGTTCCCCTTTCTCGATATCCTCTCCAGCATAAACAGTCATTGATGTTTTTGATTTTAGGCATTCTGGCAGGTGTAAGATGGTATCTCAAAATGTTTTGATTTGCATTTCCATGATGACTAATTGTGTTGAGCACCTTTTTAAAGTTTCTCTCAGCCACATTAAACTCCTCTATTAAGAATTCTCTATTTAGTTCTGTACACCATCTGTACACCACTTTTTAATTACATTATTTGGTGTTTTGGCAATTAGATTCTTGAGTTCTTAGTAGATTTTGGAGATTAGCCTTCTGTCAGATGTGGGATTGGTGAATATCTTTTCCCATTCTGTGGGCTGCCGTTTTGTATTGTTGACTGTGTGTCCTTTGCCTTACAGAATCTTCTTGGTTACAAGAGGTCCCATTTATAAATGCCAATCTCAGTGTCTGTAGACTCCTTTACCAATTCATTCTAGGGTCCTTTGAACTCTCTATTCTAAGAGGTTCAGTGTGGCTGGATTTATGTTGAGGTGTTTGATCCAATTGGACTTAAGTTTTGTGCATGGCAATAGATATACATCTATCTGCAATCTACATGACAGCATCCAGTTATGCCAGCACCATTTGTTGAAGAAGCTTTCCTTTTTCCATTGTATAATTTCAACTTCTTTGTCAAAATTCAGGTGTTTTTAGGTGTGTGTGTGTGTGTTAATATTGGTGTTTTCAATTCAATTCCATTGGTCTACTTGTCTATTTTTGTGCCAATAACAAGCTGTTTTCAGGACTCTATAATAGAGTCTGAAGCCATGAATGGTGATGGATGTAATGTTCTAAAGATGTCTGTTAATCTCACTTGGGTCATAACTTCTGTTAGTTCCTTTGTTTCTTTGTTAAGTTTCTGTCTGGTGGTCCTGTTTAGTGGTGAGTGTGGGATGTTGACACCTGCCCCTATAAGTGTGTGAGGTTTAATGTGTAATTTGAGTTTTAGTAATGTTTCTTTTACACATGTGGGTGCCTTCAAATTTGGGCCATAGATATTCAGAATTGAGACTTCATCTTGATAGACTTTTCCTGTGATGAATATGAAATAACCTTTTTCATCTATTTTGGTCGAATTTAGCTTGAAATCTAATTTGTTAGATATTAGGATTGCTACACCAGCTTGTTTCTTGTGTCTATTGATTAGAAAATTTTTTCCAACCCTTACTCTGAGGTTAATTTTGTCTTGGATGATGAGTTGTGCTTCTTGTATGTAGCAGAAGGATGGTTCTCTCTTCATATCCATTATGTTAGCCTGTGTCTTTTATGGGAAAGTTAAGACCATTGGCATTGAGGTACATTAATGACCATTGGTTGCTCATTCTTGTTTGTTTTGAATTTGTTGGTGGTGGTGTTATTGTGTGGTGATTTCCTCCCTTTTTTTCTTTGGTGTTTGGTAAACTGGGATTATATATTGCCTATTGTTTTTCTGGTTGTACTTATCTTCCTTTGGTTAGAGTTTTCCTCCCTGTATTTTCTGTAGGACTGAATTTGTGGATATGTATTGCTTAAATCTGGTTTTGTCATGGAATATCTTGTTTTTGTCTCAATAGTGACTGAAAGCCTTTCTGGGTATAGTAGTTTGGGCTGGCATCCATGTTCCTTTATTGTTTGTAGGACACCTATCCAGGACCTTCTGGCCTTCAGAGTTTCCATAGAGAAAAATTATGGAAGGCTTCATGAATTTGCATGTCATCTTTGTGCAGGGGCCATGTTAATCTTCTCTTTATCATTCCAGTTTTTAGTATATGTGCTGCCGATGAGAGCACAAGAAAAGAATTTTTAGGAAGGTGTGCATCCACATAAATTGGTCATATTTGTACATTCAAAAGAAGGTAAAAAATTCTGGAATTACATGAAAATATTTAACAAATGTAAAGCATTATACAGGTGCCCCATGCTGCTTTGGGATTCATACAGCTAAACCCAGTCCAGAATAACCTCTAATGACAAAAATATGCTTTCTCCCATATAGTATTTCAGCTCTCATACTAGCTCAAGGGTATTCACTGATAGGTAAAATGACTCCAAAAGTAATAATTAAACGACAAGTCTTTTGAAACCTACAATAGAAACTAGCTTAGCACTGCCTCCTTCCATTCTTCTAGCAGAAAAGCATATTTGCTAATGCAAAAGATTCCACCTTTTGACTGGGGACAGTATACAAAATCACCTTTCAGAGGGCAAAATAGAGAGGAAGCCATCAATTGAAGCCATTAATGCTACCTCTCAACCTGAATTTCAAATGCATATTCCAACTCAAAAGTTGTTATGTAAGAAAGATCTGACGACTAAAAAAGGAAGTACATGTTTGAGGATTACTGTCTTCAAATCTAGACCTGTGGGAAAAAGTATAGGAATCCATTCATATTTGGGTATAGACTAGTCATGAGGTACTATTCTATATGCTACAGACAGAAGAATGGTTCAGCAGTCTGGACCAGTTTCTGAGGAAGAACACCAGCAATCTAACAACTGTGTATAATAGAGCTCAATACAGTGTACAACATGACCTGCAAAGCCTTCTAAGTATTATACAAGTATTGTCATGAAGGACTGCAGAGTGAAGAGAATGTTTAGAGTGGTGAAAAGGCAAAGGAGGAAGTCTGGTGTTCAAAGGACACCTTTCCTCTTTTTCTACCTCAATGACCTGAGACCTCTAAAGAGATACATCACAGATCTCCTCTTTCTTTTGACTTTCTTCGAGTTTCTTCCCTCCTGCCCTGGTCACCTATATTCCATTGTTTACTGATTAGTATACACTGACTTATGCTTATGCTGTATCTACCTATCTCTCTCCTGTCTTCTGCTTCCAGAATTCATCAGGATATTGTATCTCACTCTTCTGATCTATTGCTTTTCCTCCAAAGTCTTAGATAGAACTTTTGTTTTCACTTTTCATGAATATAAGCATCCCTCATGAAAATTGAAAGCACTTACAATCTGATAGCAAATTCTCCTTACTATTTAACTAATCAATAAAAAAGAACAAGATTCCAGAAATTGATGCTAGACAGACTATAGCAGAATAAAGTTACATAGACAACAATTTGTTTTTCAAATTTTTAAAGGTATGAGTTAATAAAGTAAAATAAATGAGAAATACATGCAAACACATAAAGGTATCTGTAATAAGCATTTTTGTGCATAAAGTTGCATAATGAAATGCAATCCCTCTGCTAATTTCATTAGGGATCTATTAAGCTAGCAGGACTCTAATACACAAATAGAATAATTATCTTCTTCAACAGCAGGAGGACAATTTACCAGAAGAAGAAACCATTTAGATGGCACAATTAAGTTATATTTCTTCTTTTCTTTCCAATAAATTAAAGAGATGAGCATTAGTGTTATTAATTGTTTTCAGAATTTTCTCTTCTTTTTACTCATTGCCTACTTTTACCAACACTTACTATCAAGTTCCTCCTAGGATATCAGGTACTGTGGTCATCTACCAGGATATTCCCCTTTTCCTCCTTACAAACAAAAACTAGTTACAGTCCAACCTCAGAAGCAGAGCCTGACAAACTTAGCTTATCATGATAGTTCTATTTTCCCTCAATGGGAAAAAATGTCATGTAATTTTCCCCCAACAAATAGAAGAGTGAGTCTACCTAACACATTGAGATAAGAAAGAGATGCTCAGTTTTCTCCTTTATCTAATGGTAGCTTCCAGACATGTGGAACCATAACCAAAACAGAAAGGTACTACATGACAGACACAGGATAGTAATCATTTAGATCTCAATGATTTCACCGTACCCCCTAACTAGATGAGGTCAGAACAACTCTACCATTTTCAGGAAAATATATTTCTTATGTTTATTTCTCTGCTGGGTTGTCCCATTAGTTATAGCAAGAAGAGTTTAAAGTAAGCAATATACTTCAACTATAAATATCTTCCTCATCAACTTTTATACAGCATGATGAGATAGGAGCAGTTATGCATTTGACTACTCCATATGGAATAAAGGGAATTCATCATCATTGAAGAGTGAGATCTCTATAATAAATTAGCCTTCATGAAGCAATGCAGATAAATCAAACATATTACACAGAGATGGAAACTGTGTGAATTACTGATAGGATGATTTGTCTGGAATGTTTTTCCTTTAGAGACTGAAGGGACAAAGGAATGGGGCCTTATTGTAATCAGCTAATAGTTTCAAGACTTTGTTGAAGCACTTATCATTCTGAGTACAAACACATTACACAGAGATGGAAACTGTGTGAATTACTGGTAGGATGATTCATCTGGAATGTTTTACATTTAGAGGCCAAAGGGACAAAGGAATGGCACCATATTGTAATCAACTAGTAGTTTCAAGACTTTGTTGAAGCACTTACCATTCTGAAGTTGCCCTTACCAAAGATGTGTGGATTCTACTGCACACTACTCCAAGACATGGATACAACTTAATCACCTATCATCATAGTTAAGGGGGTTTTCTCACCAAAAGTAACAATGCAGTGACAGATGTGTTACTCTGTTTTATTATCTCTTATGATATGTTCTATAACATCATTTTGTAAACCTCAAGGATATTGAATAAATTTCTTTTATATTATTTTTTATATTTAAGAAGAAAATGAGTCAACAAATTATTTCCTTTTTTCTTGGAAAACATCATTTCTTAATTAATATCTTAAGTAGAAAATTATGGGTAAGTTGTTATCCAACAGGCTTATCAAATGACCTTCTGTTGGAATAGTGAGCCACATACTTCCTTATTAAACCTACAGAGTACTCAGCTTCTTTGTCTAAATTTCACAGTCTGTAATATCAGGATAAATGAGTGAATGATCTCACAGGACACACAAGAGGCTAAGTTGAAATATTACAAGTCATGTTTGTGAACATAAAAAAGTGCTTGTTATTGTAAGCTATCATTTCCAATCTCATTTGAATTAGTGTTAATTTGTAATCTCTTAGAGAGGCTCCTCTGATCCCTCATTATTTGGTTTGGGGTTTCAGCATAAAATAAATCCTGGATTCACTGAAAAAACAAAAATGAGGCAGAGGTCATTGTTCTATGAAATTCTTCAGTGTCTTCCATACTGTTTATCACCTCAAATGCTAGAGCTACAGCTGTCACTGTTTTTGCAGGTTCACACTGACCATCAGTTCCAGTGACACAATGGAAACCTGGGTTCCTGGTAGAAAATCCTACAGGCAGTTAGGATCAGCAGCCAGTGCTGGCATCTCTTTTCAGGCCTTCCCAGATTTTCCTGTAAAATAAAGGAATTGGGATGGATGACCTTTATGGTCCTTTTAAAGTCTCACATTTCACCCTTGTTATGACCCCTGTGGATCCAGGATAGATTGCCTGTATTGATTACACCTGAAGAGTGGAGTTGAGCTAGGGCCTATTTAATCAGTCCTACAGGGCACAGATTCCTTTCCCTGCTATAAAATTTAGAAAGCTCAGAATCAGAGAGGTTAAATGATTTTCCCAGAACACCATCTGGAATGTTTATAATTTCCTGTTGCAGATCGCTTATTTTTAGCCACCAGCAAATGACTAAATTGAGAGCAAGTTTGGAATGTAATGATGCAGCCCCAGTATGGCATTACTCTGTTGAGCCTGCAGATACCTAGGCTCAGTCCATACTTCCCTTAAAAATATTTACAACTTGAAAGCAGAAAGCTTCAAAATCAACTTTCACTTCTAATTTTTTGTTTCTTTAGACAAGCATGATTCAGGTTGTTTGCTGTTCTAGAGACATGGTCTTTGTCATTTTCTCCATGAGAATTTCCTTTCACTACACGTTCTCACAATTCTAAACGCAGTCCTTTATGGTCAGAGATGTTTGAAATAAGTAATTCTCTGTATCATTTGATTTTTGACATTTTTATTGTCTTTTTTAAGTTTATAGTTCACTTAACAGCTGGACATCTAACACATATATCATTTTATTTTGAAAAATGAGAGTGCGTTCTAGATGCCACCCACTTGCCATTGTAATAGATAGAATTACTGATTATACATACCCTTCTCAGCAGCAAGAGGATACACAATTGCCTCCTACGACTCTGATAACAAGATGGCAGTTACAATTGGCATCTAGAGAAACAATGTATAATTGCCATTCACTGAACTAACAGACAGAGAATGAGAGAGAAATTATCAGCACAAAGCCCAAGCAGTAGACAGAATAAACAACCCTCAGACCTTACTTATTTTAAGCACAAGAGAAAGAAAGCAATTTGCTCTCAGAAGTACCATCTCAGGAGAAATCCTTTGTTGAAAGATGACTCATATTATATCTTTTACAAGTTTCTTTTGCTAACTCTGCAAACCGGAAAGGGGAAATATGAAATCCAAGAGATAAAGGGGTTAAACACAGCACTTGAATAGCAGGAAAAGAAATGATGGTGACTTTGCCAATGACAATTCTAAATAGCTTATGGGCAGTAGTGTTTTAGATGTAACAGTGAGACTAACAATGAAAGATACTTTTACCTTGAAAATATAATGTATAGTATATAATCTGATATATAATACATAAGATATGTATTAGATATAATATATGTACATATATATATATATTATCTAAAGTACAATAGATGACTTTCCTGTGTGGGGAGAATGCACAGTAGAAATGCCTTGACAACGTTGGTCCTTGGCCCTAGGCTATTCTGACATGCTGTTTTCCTGTAGAGGGTTGATATGCTCTTCATCTCACATATGCAAACAGAATTTTCATGCTTACAATCGTGTCTCATCAAGGCTTTAATTCTTTCCACTAAATTTGTTATCAGTTCCAG